CGAAAACTCTCTAGTACGAATTCAATTCGATAACTTTGTTTTTGTTTTTACAAGTAATTTTTTTGACAAGACAGCTGTGCGCAAAGATAGCGAGCAGCGAAATGGCAAACCTGAATGTCTATGTCCACCGGATTGTATGTATATTTTCAATTTAAAACTGTATCAAGTTGTCGAATCTTTTTTTATATAAAGCTATGGCCTAGAATGGCCTTTAAAGATCGAAGCGTTCGTGCCTTTTCCATTCTTTCGGGCTGGAACTCTAATCTCATTCTAACTGCTGAAGTCGTCTTAAAGAAACTGAGGTGGAATTGACTCGCCACTTCCTTATTAAATGATAGTAACAATATTCTTTATTAATAGATGTCTAACAGATATACTTATATATATACTTAATATATATAAACTTAAAAGTCGAGGTAGGTTAGATCTATATTTTTTAAAATAAATTTCAAACTCTCATTGCTATTGATCTAAAAGACTCACCTTTTAGCCTTAGAAAAACATAAATGCTTTCCTCAATAAGTCCGTATTAAAGCTTCGATGCTTATCAAAACGTCTTGGAATAAATAAGTCTACTTCTTATGAATTGAACCAATATATTATATGTAAATAATTTCATTTTATATATGAACATACAGTATGTTCTACAAGTAACAAAACAAATAAGATGATAGAATTCAAGAATAATTCATATAGGAGGTAGCCATGGAGATCCTTCGAAAAATGAAGAAAGTTTACTAAGTTTAAAACTTGTAACTATATATTTACGAATATTTCGAAACAAAAAAATTATTTATTTGACGTGGAATCTTTGGCTTGCGTTCAAAATGGTGTTAAACCTCTATGATCGTTGCTACGATAAATATGCATACATAGGTTAAAGACCCTTCCAAATACAAATTTAGAAAGTATGAAGCCTTTCGCTAATAGTTAATCATATGCCAGAAGTGAATTATCTGAAAATATTTTTTTGTTTTACTAATAAAAGAGCGTAGGCTGTAAAAAATTCTTAATATCACATGTGTTACAACTAATTTACAGATAAATATGTTTCCATTTTATTCACATACCTATGAATAAAGAATTTTAAAGTTCGCCGACCTTTTTCAGAGATAATTACAATGAAGAGCCTTCTGGCTTAAGATATCCAGATTCAGAATCCCAAAAATGGTTACCCCTGTTTACTCTGATTTCATGTTTGAGGTTCAGCGGAAATATTATTCTATCTGATAGGGTACAAAAACATGTATTCTTTTCTTTTCTGACAGCTGTTTTAGATGAACAATTGTACAATTCGCAGAGTCGCGGCGCTGAAAAAATTCCTAATAACATAAAAAGGACTTATAGTTTATTATGAGACGACTTTTGTGTTTGATGTACGACTGCATATAGGCAATCTGGTAAGAATAACAGGAATAACTGTGTAATACAGGTATAGCCGAATAAATAGCCAATTTCTAATTTTGTCCATTTGCCTTTGTATACTGAACACTAAAATATTTTCTGCTTGACTGCGGGAGTTATTTCTTTTTGATAGTGAATAATAAATTTGATAAATTTCAAATTCTGTGGAGATATAATTAAATGGGTTTGAGGAAAAATCACTCTATATAAGCTTTGTTGCGTGATTTGCGTTAATTTATTACGAAATATTGAGAGAAAACAAGGATTAAGTGGGTTGAAGCTCAGATTAATATTCAAGACGATAAGATTGAACCAAAATTTATAGATTATAAACTAATATTTAATATATTTATGCAATAGTCTTAAAAAGTAATCAAAAATTATATACGGAGAGTAGTTTTACTTTTTCTGTCAGGGTTAAGAACAGCAATTACTTTAACTTAAGGGGGTTCCGCAAGAAGAGGATATTACATTGCAGACAAAATGGTTAATATAGTAAATGCAAAATAAAAGCTTAACCTTTTCGGAACACTATATAAAGATATTTAGTGCATTAACTTATGCATGAAAGCAGCTAGGTATTTCGAAAAAGAAGAACGGATACAATCGAAATTGATAAAAAAATCATAGTGAGAATAAAAAGGACGTAATAAAAGCGAGAGAGCACGGCGTAAGGAGAGAGTACTTATAAAAGCAAGTCGTCGTAGTAAGAGAAAGACACGCTCTCTGTGAACTCACACTTCAAGTCTGAGAAATTCGAATTTCTCAAGGCGTTTTGTGAAAGAAGCTCACATCACTACATACAAAAACCCTCATGAGCGTGAATATGTGCGGTTTGTGGGAATTATTGTGGGCCAGTAGTTATGGAAGACGTGATAAGCCTTTTTGTCGCATTTCGTAACAAATAAAGAATGAAAGTTCTAGTATGAATCGGTTTGAGGCAAAATAAAAAAAGCAAGACGCGTGGTAAAGAGCGGGGAGCACAAGCTTCAATATGCCACGCATAGTAAATCTGTATGTATGTATTTCAGTACTATTGATTACTATGCGAGCGCAGAGCGTTTTCACAAAGGCACTCGGTAATACATTCAGGCCGCGCGCAATAACATAAAGCGTTAAACAGCAACAAAAATTACAACTACAACGACATAAATATGTAGATGGCGGGCGCTCCGCTGGTTGGCTGGCTGGATGCGTGTGGTGCGCCTCCTTGCGACCTGCTTCTTTGGCCTCTAATATACATTATTGGGATACTATTTCTTGTGGCTGCGACGAGCTACGCGACTCACACAGCGCTAATGTTATCAATATTGCTCAGGATCTTGTGTGTAGACACCATGTTGGCTTTGTCTAAGCAAGGAGAGAGAGGGCCACTGCGGTTTTGGCAACATTATGTGTGCGGAAAATATGTATTTTCATATACTATACAATTGTGTCAGTATGTTGGATGCCTTGACGCCTTTGGTTTGGTTTGTTGCTGAAAAATGGAAAATTTCCCTTTAAAGGTCTTGGCACGTTTCAATGCTATCGTTAAGCGTGGAGTGGTCCGTGACGCAATGCTCACGAAACAAATAAGCAAATAACGCGACAAATTGGCGTATGCAAATTTTGTTTTCAATTTAATTTCCTTTTTTGCGTTTACTCGCTGTTATTTGACCCTATTGGATGGCTCTGCCTGTCTGCATTTTAGGAATCCTAATCAAAAATTTTTTATCTTAGTTACAGCAGTCACACAATCACACAGAATTCGTGAAAGCACTGATAAAATTTTCAAAAAAGAGAAAAAATTAAAATTAAGGTGAAAGGCCTATAGAAATTAAGCTGAGTAGTTGTTTAAAAAAGGATGTTATGCAATCAAGGATGTTACCCTTATAAAAATTGAAAGTGTTGAGTCAGAATAAAAAACGTCTTATAAATGAGGCACTAGTGTGAATTTGACACATTACCGGTAAAAGGTTTTACGAGTTGCACGTGTCATTCTTCTATAGACAGTGCCGAAAATAGCTTCTTCGTAGGTTCACACATTCTATTCGCTGTTTAATACTTTCGAAAAAATAACTTGAGCTTTTACTTTTACTACACTGAATAATGGTTTCACAAAGACCGATGAAAATCTTTCTACTCAGAGTTTTAATTTTTTTGTTTGTTCAAATTTATCGATTTTTTTTGTTTTAATTTTTACGCCTAAACAGATTTGTAATAGTTCAACTCGCTTTGTATAGATATAATATTTAAATACAAGATTTCTTCTGGATTCATAAAGGACTGCGCTAATCAGTCCAAGTGTGATTCCAATTTTTGACCATCAGACATAGAACCTACCCAACCTAACCTTTGGAAAGTTTTTTTATTAATTTCATAACATCTCACAAAAACATATGTAAGTTTGTCTGTTCTGCGATTTGGCTTTGTATTTAGTAATGATAGTTCAGCGAATATAGATTTTCGAGATAATGAAGGCTCTATTATGTATAGACATATTTGTTATTGGCTCGTATACTTTTGTTAAGCAGTTGACCGAGTTTCTACTTCTTTTAGTGGTATTCCAAACTTAAATTTAGAGTCCACATTTTGCAACTACCGGTAAAGGGGTATTATGCCAGAAAAGAGCAAGAGTATAATAAAATTGCATCGAGATATTACCCTTCTTAATGTACTCAGAAAATGATGGAAGCATCGCTACAATTCAAGGAGTGTTACAGTAAATCCACCAATACTGAGTGTGACAAAAAATTACCTTCGGGTATCTACACTACTCCATACAGACTAACATGTTCTAAAAGTGAAAGCTGGTTAATATGGTAAGTTGTCATCACAGTGCACATATTTTCGAAATCTCAGTTTCAGAAACTAGATAAGGTGGAATCGGCAAGATGAAGAGCAAGCGCTAAGGATGATGAAACCTTGGAGTATAATCTATGTGAATGCCTAACTTTCAACCGATTGAAGCGGAATAATTTAAACAACTCCTAATGTTCGAAATTAAAACAAATTGGGTAACACGGACCAACAAATTGAAAACCATGCGGTAATACCATGATTCCTCGTTCCTTATTTAAAAAAAACCAACCAACCAATACACCAAGAAAGAAAAAACTAGATTGGGAAATCTTTTGGATCAACTCGTATGCTTTTTTATTGCTCCATATATCTTTTGTACCACAGAGGCAGGACTGTTCACTGTGTTGCTCACTAAAAGTATTTTGATTACATCCTCATAGTGGACAAAAATATTTGTTTGTACTTTTAGTTCTCATTCAACTTTTTGCTTTAGTCATAATGAAGTTTTATGAATGCGTCTAAATGTAGGCAACAATTTTGCACTTTCTATTGATTTATGGTATAAATTATCAGATTTTCAAAACAATGTTTATGTCGTCCGTAAAGAAATGTTAATATATATTACTATGTAGCCTTTTCTCTGCTTAAGTGAATACAAATTCCGAAAACTGAATTAAACGCTTGAATTAGTGACTTTCCTATTATGTAAGATATTTCCAATCGGACTATTGTAGAATTTGCGGTTTATAGACACTGAGTGTATATTCATATATTCATGATGTAAATTCGAGCTTGGAATTCATGCTTTTACTCACCTTTTATTTGTTTAACGGGTCTGTTTAGTATCAGCAGAATGACAGCGAAAGTCGCGTCTTTAAATTGTTGTTTTCTGTTTTATCTTTTGAATTACAGTCTCGATTTCCGTTTCTACGCCACGCTTTTTCCCGACTCAGCTGATGATTGCTATTCGTTGTTGTTACTTTTGTCTCTCAAAAAACACGAGAGTGAAACTTTAGTTTTTGTATTGAGAGCACTTTTCTACTGCATTAGTATTGGTAGTTGTTTTTGTTGTAGCATTATTATATTAATTATAACTTTCTAGTTATGCGCTTCCTTTGTTTTATTTGTATTTCTGTGTACTTTTCGTTTAGCAAACAACCTTAAATCAATACGAAGCACTCGAACAATTTTGCACGCATCGGTGTCGGTTCGTAAAGCTGGAGAGCAGAGAGGCAAGCAGTGTAAAGCGTTATTACTGCTGCTGACGATGCGTTTATGTTGGTTCGATTGTTTCTGTATTGTTCTTGGCTGCAGTTCGGTATTGTTTCTTTGCCGTGACGATGATGCCGTTAGCACTGAGGTAACGAGTGGTTGAACGTATTGGCAGCGGGAAGTAGGCGAAGACGAAGAAATAAAATGTGTATTTGTATCAGTGTATTTGATAAGAAAAGGATTTCATTCAATTGTGTGGAAATGCGAGTGCGCGACGGAAAAAATTATGAATAATCGAAAACTATGTTAAAAGTTCAATGTTGTGTGTGTGCGTTTGCTTAATCAGCGTGGCCTAGTGGACCTGTGTGTTGGTTGTGAGTATTTATGTCTCAATGGGTGTGTTGGTCGGTGTCTTAATGTCAAAATGGACCGAAGACACATAAAAAAGTCGCAATTTGATGGTCGACACTTAGGCGCATCAGTGATGTGTGCGTGTAAATGGGAGAGAATGAGAGAGAATGAGAGAGAAAATAGTATAAAAAGAAATAAAAACAACAAGTGCCATACACCGCAGAGCTGACAGTTCTCTACAAGTACTAATGTTAGCCAGAGTGCTTAAGTTATGCTCTCTTTTTCCCCGTAGACAGAGCGATTGTGTGTGTGTAAGTGTAACGTAAGCTTTTCGATTAGCGACTATGGGGCGACTTTCGGGATAGAGATTTTTTCTTACTATGACAGACACTGCTGATGGACCGATTTGATGTGGCTGCTCGTATTTTCAGCAAGTTTCACGCTGTAATGCTTTTCTGCTCTTCTCTAATAGATGTCCTGCAACTTAGCTGCGAAACAGTTATTCAACGAAAATTATTTAATTATTTCGCTTTTTGCTGTTTACGCTAGTAGAGCTACGTTGTTTTGTTGTAATTGCGACAACATTTTTCCCAATTCAGCTTCTCTCAGGCGAACCGTGTTTGACTTTAGTTGGAGGAGCTGACGAAAAAAACTGTGAGCTGCCTCCGATTACACAACAAATGATATGGAGAAATTTCACACTCGCTCGAAAATTGCGCAGAAATTTCTTGATATCAGCAAAGAAACATATTTGAAATAAAACTAGAGAAAGAAATTATAACAGTAATTGCGTGCCATGCATATTAGTTCAATGCTGCCCCTGCAGAAAATCAATAAATTCATATTTCATTGACCGTTCGCTATTTTCGAGGTCCGCTGACCGAGTTTTGCTGATGAGTTTTGTTTTTTAATTTTCTCTAAGATTTTATTAAATTGAATTGAAGTTTGCTTTCGTTAATAGTTTTAGCACTCTTATTTGACACTTGAACTTAATCGCCAACCATATAAAATATATGCGTGTATATATAATATATATATGTACGTATAGCAATAAATTACTTTCTCCTCCGCACTCCCACACTTTTTTCACTATCGACACAATGATTATTTTTCGTTCTCTACCACCAACGAAAGTTGCTTGTAAAGACTCAGCCTTCAATCGCGTTGGCTTAGCCTATCCATTAACGGAATTTTAATGTATTCACTAGCTGTAAACAGTTTTCACATTAAGGCTTATATTAATATGAATTTTTTCGAATTCTTAGTAAGCTCTTAAATAGAATTTCAAATAAAAGATTGGGTTTTTCTTCTCTCTATATATGTTCACCTTTAGCGCTGCAATTATTCCTCGTCAACGTTCACGGTCGATGCTCATTCGCGTTTTGAGGTATTACAGTATAGAAAATCCTATGGAAAGCGCACATCGGCGAGCATTTCCTCATAGGTTGGAGTGTGACAAACGATACGAAATCGATTTTTTACCCAAATTACACGAATGACAGGCAATCACGCAAACAGTCGGAAACACTGGTGGAACTTTGAAAGCTCGAAAAACCGTTAATGCAAATTCAATGCTGGTTATGCCGAGTATAGCGCTTATAGCCACAAATTGCCGAGGTTAAGGCTTTTAAAAATACAAATAAACGGTATTATTAAATATATAACAAATTTTATATAACAATACCAGAGTTGCTTTACCAAAAGGGGTTTACAAAATATTTCGCATTGGCAAGCCTTTCAATTTCGAATTCCCTTACAGCTTTCACTGCTCTTAAAAATAATTTGTATTTGATTCATTCATTCCCACTCTTTTTTGCTTTCGTAAAAAAACTCTCGTAAAAAATAAGCTCTTATTTCATCCTTTATTTCAGTAGGCACTTGTGGTTAATGTTGCCATATAAAATTTTATGTTAATTATATTTTCCCTTTAATTTTTGAAGATGAAACTATTAACAAAGGACTCGTAATTAACAGCAAGTTGTTGGCAATATAACCAACTTACTTAGAGATTAGTTAATTAACTTAGCGCCTATACCTTAAGTCCTAGTTAATTTTTTAGACTAGTGGTTATGAACTAAAGATTTGATTTTAAAGCGAATACATAAATATAGAAAATATAGAATATAGAGTTATACTTAGACCTCGTTTTCTTGATTTTGATTTCTAAGTAAGTGACGACAACATATATTACAGGGTCTACCTTTAATATGGGGAGAAAAAGAGGTATAATAGAGAGGAACGTAAAATAACTGAATGAGTATAGACGGAGCGAGCTTTTAAAGCCAACCTCTCGCAAAGCTTTTACTCTCTGCTAAGATTGTGGGTTCAAGAGTACGCAATATAGGTTTTGTTGTAGGCAAATGTATACAAAAACCAACAATGTCTTATTATGTCTACATACATATGTACAATATATACAGTTGGTAAGCGATACTGTGATAAGAGGGCGACTTTTTTCAATGACACAACATTACTGACGCATGTCGGGGTGGAAAAGTGGTAGTAAGCAAGCTGATGATGTTTTATAAATGAGGGAATGTGTCAAAAGAAGTGAGTAAAAAATAAGGAAGATTTATATATTATATTACCACTACTATGTTTTCTATTTAATTAAACAGGTTTGCTAAAAGCTTTTTAAACCACTTATCTTTATACTTCAAATTTGCAAGTTCTTAAAGGTTTTTAGAAGTTTGAGGTTTCTTAAAAGATAAATAAGCTGAAACATCTAAAAATTAGTACCCAGTACCGGTTCTGCTTCCAAATTTGCAATATTTCGTCACAATTATAGCAAAAACTAGCAAGTTTTCGTCAATTATGGGGAAAAAAGATTCGTATTATCGTTAGCAGTACAAAGCACTTGACGTCAAGACTTTAAGAAGTACTACTAAAGTGTAGTTTAATAATGTGTTCATAATATCTATAATTACAAAGCTCACTGAGCTTTGGGTTTACTAACATAAAAGCTTTTGTGCAGGCCTATAAAATCTTAAAAGCTTTAACTGTGTTTAAAATATGTAAATGTTAGTAGTTGAAATTTACCAATAGATGTCGGTGCTGACAAATTAACGGGATGTCTTATTAATGGTTTATTACAATGTAAAATATAAAAGAATCATTGTTCAATCTAATGCAGCTTGTTAAGTTAACTAAGAATTACTTTCTTTCGTAATAAGAGATGCTTCACTGATTTTATAAAACGTTAAGAATATAACCTAAAAGTTTAATAGCTAGAGAATAATCATAACCTGCAAGTTTAGACCCATTAGTGCCTTTGACATTATGTTACGTCATAAACTTAATTTACAATCACTACAAAAATTTGCCAATTTTCTAAGTTGTTTATTCCCATTCTTTCTCGGATCGTGGCGATCATGAAGACTCGTTGTGATCGTTTGTAGTATAATGGTAAGTAAAGTGTATGGACTTTTGAAATGTAACATTATTTTTGTATATCTTCAATACATATTCCTGTATTCCATTTTGTCATCTTATATTTGAACCTTCCCAATGTGTTGAGAACTGTATCAGAGAGTGAACAAAAGATATTATTAGGACATCTTTGCCTACCCCTGTGCTTAAACAATATTCCGTAACATCTAAGAAAATGTCAGAATATTTCCTTTTTTCTTCTTATATTGCCGATTTTCTAGTTCTATAGATTCATATTATCCCATAACCTTTAGTATATAAAGCTAACATTACTTTATCTAATTTAGAGAGTTTGCTGGCGTCTGACTTGTAGGTGATTTTGACCTTCGTTAATCCATAGTTGATCTCCCCGCCACTTTTGCGGGGTCTACTGTTACGGGGTCCTCGAAGGTCCATTAATCTCCACCCCTCAGTTGGCAGATTTGAGTTGCAGGCTCTGATTAGCTGCATTATCTGTTCCAACTGCGATGGTGTAGCCGGGATCTAGATCCTTGTCCCTGACCTGAATGAGATGTTTTCTTTGTCGACCGCTACCAATCTAGCTCCGGATTATACCTCTACAACCTTGGCTAGCGCGGCCTTATATATTTGAATCCATCCCTTGTCGTCGCACGAAATCATTTTGATCTAGTGCTTGAGCGGTGCATGACTAGCGCCACTCTTGTCAGCGCAGTTTTCACTCACTTCCACTTGGCTCTTGGAATTTTTCCTTTGGGATCATCCTCGTCCAGCACATCAATGTAATTCGATTTCGGGCTACTTCACCAAACGATTTAGTAGAAGTTTTTGTCTTCGGCCTTTTTGCTGACGGCTTATCATCTTCAGCTGATCTCTATCTGATCTGTCTTTTAGCTGCCGCTGCTGATGGTCCAAGCCTTATATTTGGCAGAACTGCTTTCGTGCAATCAATAGATTCCCGAAACTCATTTGGAAGCTTCTTATTGGTTTATGGTTGCAGCTGCACCCTTCTGAGCATTTACAGGACAAATATTTCGATTTTGGAGGCTAACTTCGAAAATCGGGGAAATTACTTTTTTACTTGTGATTCAGTCCCTCGAAAAAATTTTGTTGGTCCAATACACAGAAAAAAGTCGTTTTTGCTTTTTAGCGTTACTAAAATAATCATATCTAATACTTAATTAGTTTAGTAAACCAATTAAAAATGGACTTGCTGTTGGAAGAAACAGCCATATTGGTGTATAAATGTTTACTTTTCACTGTTTTTATCGATTTGGTCCTTATTTCATAACTGAAAAATGCCTTTTTGCATAATTTTAGAATCTATTATGTAGGCAATTTATTTTAATAAAAACGCTTTTATGTGAGTATATAAGTATATGGGATGTCCATAATTCGAGGTCGAATTAGATACTATGAGCTAAATACCATACATACATTAAGGGCAATGAATTGCATTTAAATCGATTACTGCAACAACAAATTCGATTGATGTACGCACAAAGCATTCGGCCTTTGAAGCTAATTTACGAAGAACAGCTTGTGGACATGCATGCCTACATACTTGTACATACTACATACCATATGTACGGTTATCAAAGACAGCAGTAACAGTATGTCAATGGCATTCCGGTTGATGTGATTATGCTGTTGCCTACCAATGTTGTTATGTTGTAGTCGTAACAACAGCATTTGAGTTATTCGCTTTTCATTAGAATTTCGACTTACCACTACAGAAACACATTGTCTTGCAAGTAATCAGTGTCCGTGTGTGTGTATTTGCGTGTGTGTGTGTGGGTGCATGCAATTGGAGTTGCCACTGTTGTAAGATGTGCCAATTAATTCATGTCATTTAAATAATTCAACTGTACCTAATTGCATGTAATGAGCGCAATAGCTTAGGAGTTGCAGGGAGTTTCAATTGTCATTTGTGGCAATTATGACACATTCATTTCGCTCTCAGTGAACTCAAAGTTTACGGGAGTTTTAAGATACAACTGGGAATTCAGCTAAGGGGCTAATCAATTTGTGCGTGTATATGTTTGAAGTTGTTATAAACTCTTGTTGGCGATTCGAAAAAATCCAATTTTTATACTGAAGTAAATATGTAAATACGTATAACAATATATTGTAGCGTTCAATTGCAGATACCTATCGAATACTCATTGAATATTAATTCACAACGCTTACCTTTTAATACAGCTTTCAACATATTGTCAATGTGGCACTCTTAACATCGATACCCGCTGTGTTTTAATAATTAAATTATGTTGATTTTTTGTTTTGTTCGCGATACTATTATTTCATTAAAAGGATTTTATGTTGACATGCCTGTAATGTTGAATTAAATACCGTTGAAAGTGTTGAAGTATTTTGATATGTTCACTAGGGTGGAGCGAAAAAAAATTTTTTTTTCTTAGCCTGAGCGTAAAATCTGTAGATTATAAAAAAAGAAAATTTTTGGACAAAAAAAAATCACTCAGTTTTAAAGTAAATTTTCGGGTTAAAATTTTTATTTCGTAAAAATTTTTTGATAAGTGTTCTAGAAGCTGTGGAGAGTCCTCTTTCTAGCCAATTAAAAGTTATCAACTCAAAAAATTTTTTTGCGGTCATTATTGGAGTTTAAAAAAAGTCTTAAGCGACAACATGCTTTCCTTAAGTGTTAAAATAAATTTTGAGGCAAAAACCATCACATTCGGTTATTTTAATATAAATGTAAAGCGTTTAAACCAAAAATAATTTTTTCTCGTCCACAAAAAATTTAAATCGAAATTTACTTTAAAACTGCCTCTAGATGTTAAACAGTTTTTTTGTCCAAAAATTTTATTTTTTTATAGTCCACATATTTTACCCTCAGGCTAAGCAAAAACAATTTTTTTCGCTCCACCCTAATCTTCACTTGTTCGTTACGACTTTTGTCACGGCGTGAGGACAACCAATTTTCCTTGTCTCAGTATTAGGATAATGAATACGAGTAATTTTGAATATTTAGCCAACCCGAACTATCACCAATCCAGACAGTTGCAAACTATGAAGTGTTGCTGAAAATCTAGTATATTCCAATTTAGGA